GAGGATCAGAGGTTCCGAAAAGGAATTTAGTACAGGAAAATTACGTATCCGTTGATGTGCATTCCTGGTGTCCACTGAAGTGAGTGGAATTGCGAGTACTGAGTTAGATCATGTAGGAGTTAAATAGAGGAGGTTGGGGGTATTTGAAAAAAGGTTGAAAAACCTTTGTCTTACTATCCTGCAAGAAGTCGGTTACGTCGTCATGCAAGGATAGGGGTTCCACATGCTGACGTCATGTTGGTAGGTGGCTTGTAGCTGGCTTTGCTTGACTACTATCTTGATTTCATCAGTGGATAAAATGATTAGGTGCCAGGAGTAGATGGCTCTTTTCTGCAATGCGCCATGCATTTTCCTCACCCAAACTAAGAATTGCTTCTACTAAGTTACTAATGGTACACAGTAAAAGCAAAGTATCAGGGCCTTCGTGGTTCCATTTAATATTTAGCCACGAAGATGTACCTTCACGATTTGAGGTCTCCTTGTAAAGGACCCCACTAACTGCTTTGAGCTCATCTTACGCCAACTTTCAGAAATATCTTCATCACAGCAGTATCCTTGGATGAGTCGGTTGCGGCGAATGCGGTGCCGGGAGCTCGTAAGAAGCGAATGAGCGAGGCGATCCATAACACTAACACCGGAAGCGTCTATGTGGCCTTGTCAGATGGACGCTACTTGAAGAAGATCGTTAGCGGTAGGTTCTCATTATAGACTACCAGTCGGCAAGGAGAACATCCACTGCTATGTTCAGGTCATCTACAAATGCCATCCGCTATTGTGACATTGCCCTCGATAGGACGAATTTGCTACGCGGATGCCGGTCTTCATGCCAAAATCGAATGTGCCGATATGGATGGAACTCATAGAGAGGTTAGTTTGGACCACGGCTTGCTTGTATAGACAATATCAGAATACCTAAGGCGTAAAAAACACTGCGCTTTGCGTCGAACAATTTCCGGATGCGCCTCAATTTTCTTTTACCCACAAACGTACTAGCACTTGAACGCCACATCACCCATGCAGATCGACC